AGGGCCAGCGGTCCAGCTTCTCGGCATTCGGATCGTAAGTCTGGTCCGCCAAGCACCGAGGCTCCCCCTTCTTCCATTTCGTTGCGCCCCACCTGGCCCAGCACATGCTCTCGTACTGGCCGACGTCGAGCAAGGCCTTCACCATCTTGGGCGGGAGGAGATTCAAGCAGCCATCGTCCACAAAGTCCCCCATGAGAATGTCGCCGGGCTCGCCTCGCAAGAAATCGATCTCAGGCGTGACGCGGATGCAACAACCCGCGGGGTCCAATCCGTGGACCCGCGCGTTCCTGCGGCACATTGCCATCAGGAATGCGCGCCCGAGCGGCGTCTTGCCGATGTTGGGCTCCCCAATGAGGACAAGCGAATCGTTGCTGTTGATCAGCTCCTGCATGGCTTCGAGAACGCGAAGGTTGAAGTGGTCCTCGCAGAGGATCACGTTGTTTTCGAACTCCTTCTTTGCAAGCGCGCCCTCCGCCGCGAGCCCGCTCAACGCCTTCGCCACCAGGGGGACGGGCCAGCCGTAGAGGGGGGCGCCTTTGCGTAGCGCCTTCGTCTGCCATACCAGCTGCTTGAGCTCGGCCGTGGAGCGAGGCGCGTTCTTCAGGATGTATTCGAAGCCAGCGTTTATATCCTCGTCCGAGAGCTCGTAGAACTCGTTCACCTTGGTGGCCGTCTTGACGTCTGGCGATAAGAAGAAAGCCCGACACTGTTTGCCTCCGAACCGCTCGAAGGCGTATTGCCAGACCTTGACCCCCACCTGGCGGCGCGATCGAAAAAACAAAATGGCGAGGGCGCCGCGCCCTCGCCACCCTTTTGTTTCCCCAATCGTGCACCTTGGGATGCTGGAAGCAGAGCTTCTTGACGCTCCCGAAAGCCATGCTGGCGAAGACGGCCGTCTTCGCCTTGTTGGGGATGACGCAGTGTTTGATTATGGTCTTCGTGCCGTCGGGGGCGTCAAGGATACAAATCTGCAGCGTCATGTGGTGTTGCGGCGCCGTCTTGAACCCGAACGGTGGCGGCAGATTGTGGTAGCTGTCGTCCTTCCAGGCCGCCTTGTATTGCTCGTCGAGCTCGGGGGGGACTGGGTCTCTATGCCCCGTGATGAAATCAATGTAGTGCACCAGTGGGTTCTCGTTGGCCCCGATGTCGTCCGTGAGTTCGAGAAAAGGCTCGATTTCTCCACGGGGCAGCACGCCCGTTACCATTGGTGCAGGAAGAGGGCGGCAATACCAGCCCTCGGTCGCCGATTTCAGGTCCTCGTAAGCGGCCATGCCGCGGTCTTGAATGACGCTGAGTGTTTGCCAGAAGGCGCACGCTCGGCGTTGCGATTGGGCCCAAACAGCTACGAGCAGCGAGGGGGGTCAGGAAACGCTGGGTTCCTCCAAGATTCCTGGATTCCTGGATTACTCCTGTGTTCCTGGGTTTCTCCTGGGTTCCTGGGTTCCTGGGTTCCTCCTGGGTTCCTAGGTTCCTGGGTTCCTCGGTTCCTCCTGGGTTCCTGGATTCCTCCTGGGTTCCTGGGTTCCTCCTGGGTTCCTGGGTTCCTCCTGCGTTTCTCTTGGTTTCTTGGGTTCCTCCAAGGTTCCTGGATTCCTGGGTTCCTCCTGTGTTCCTGGATTTCTCCTGGGTTCCTGGGTTCCTCCTGGGTTCCTGGGTTCCTTGGTTCCTCCTGGGTTCCTGGGTTCCTCCTGGGTTCCTGGGTTCCTCCTGGGTTCCTGGGTTCCTCCTGGGTTTCTTTTGGTTTCCTGGGTTCCTCCAAGGTTCCTGGGTTCCTGGGTTCCTCCTGTGTTCCTGGATTTCTCCTGGGTTCCTGGGTTCCTCCTGGGTTCCTGGGTTCCTCGGTTCCTCCTGGGTTCCTAGGTTCCTCTTGGGATCCTGGGTTTCTCTTCCGCCTCCTCCCAAGCCCCTTGCTGGCTACCGAAAGGTACCCGAAGACGGCCGAAGAGCACCCGAAGTGCTCCCGCACGGCTCCCGAAAAACACCCGGAGGGCACCCGCAAGGCACCCGAAAGGCACCCGAAGGGCACCCGCAAGGCACCCGAAAGGCACCCATCCTCAGAATTCGGGGGTCGACGCCGATAGTAAAAATGCACAACGTCATAATGATTATGATACTTCTTCAAATCTGATTTTTGCACTTAACGAGAAATGCTTCGCTTTCCGTTCATATGCAACGGCAACAACAAAAAAAACCCAAAAAAAAATTCTCGAGCGTTTCCCCCTTCTGAATGGTATATTTGGGGAGTTGCGCGGCACGTGTATACTCGCAATGCACTCCGCTAATTGCTAAGGCACCCGCAAGGCACCCGCAAGGCACCCGAAAGGCACCCATCCTCAGCAACCAGCTGGGCCTTGAGTCTGCTGCCGTCGCGGGAAGGGGATGGCGGGCACGAAAGAGAGGGTAACCAGAAAACTTGGTTGAGGGAGAGAGAGGTGAGGAGAGGGGAGGGGCATCGAAGGGACATTGAATTTGCGATGCCCCTGGGTTCCCTCCTGGGTCTCCTCCAGGGGTCTCCTGGGGCCTCTCTGGGGCCTCTCTGGGGCCTCCTGGGGCCTCCTGGAGCCGCCCGCTCCCCAGGGGGAGGGGTGGCGGAAGCGAAAAACCAAAAAAAACACAAGGAAAAACCAAAAAAACCAAAGAAACCAAACACCAACAGCCGAAAAACCAAAAAAACACAAGGAAAAACCAAAAAAAACAAAAAAACCAAAGATTTCGATACTTCGTCCACCCCCACCGCCCTGACAGCGAAAGTGTTGTAAACTTTGGTTTTTTTGTTTTTTTTGGTTTTTCCTTGTGTTTTTTTTGTTTTTCGGCTGTTGGTGTTTGGTTTCTTTGGTTTTTTTGGTTTTTCCTTGTGTTTTTTTGGTTTTTCGCTTCCCACATCCCTGTGTGGCGCTTTCCAATCGAATCCCTTTGTTGCGGTTTCCAAAGGATTCCTGCTGTGAGGCGTTCCACTGGAATCCCTTTGGAATGTTTTCCAAAGGGGTCCTGTTGCGAGGATGGGAGGGAAGAGTGCGATTGCAACGCTATGCGTCTGCAATGCAATGCAATGCAAACAAAGAGGAGGACATGCATGCAGACAAACAGGAGGAGCAGGAGCAAGAGCAACCCACCATGAAATTTGGCCAAGAGAGTGGCCCACGGGAGTCCCATGCCAAGTAATAGTATTCGTAGCAGTAGTAGTAGTCGCAGTAGTCGTAGTAGTAGTAGTAGTAGTAGTAGTAGTAGTAGTAGTAGTAGTAGTAGTAGTAGTAGTAGTAGTAGTCGTCGTAGCTCTAGTAGTAGAAGTTGTAGTAGTAGTAGTAATAATAATAATAATTTGAATAGTAATAGTTAGTGGTGGTGGTGGTAGTGGTGATAGTAGTAGAGATACTGCTGGTACACACAGGACATCAACTGGGAATGTGGGTTCCTCGGTCGCGTGATTTTTTGTATTTCGGTCGGGCCATCCTCCCCCGCCCTGCCGAGGTGGCCGACCACGCCGGCCTCCTGGCGGTGCTGGAAGCACTAATGAGGGGCAACGAAAGGAGAGGACCAGCTAAGGGGGGAAACACCAGGCTGGAATCGGCGATAGATCTCCGATAGATCGGCGATGTGCCCCTGGTAGCGAATCCGCACGTTCATGGGCGGGGTGGGCTATCGGGCCCATATCAGCGATCAATGGGCGATTGGGGGTGGATGTGCCCTCCCCGGAGCTGGGGTGAGCCTTCATGGGAGCCTCTGTGAACCTCTACGGCCCTATCATAAAATTGATATCGACCCGATTTCGTCCAACATCCGACACCCCGTCTTCATCCTTTCGTCCAGATTCCGCCCAGACTCCGTCTAGATGTCGACGAAGCCCGGGCGACATACTCCAAACCGCAAGAAGTTGTGGGACCCTCTGGGGCTCCCATGAAGGACCACACATCTGAGCCTATCCCTCCGAACGTTGCCCCTGCAACCCCGCGTGCTTTGCCAAGGCGGCCCTGGCGGCACGTCATGCCTTGTGTGCGGATAGCATGGCATGTCGCTGCGCTCTGCGGGACGGCTCGGGACGTCGACGCTTCGGAATGGGAGAATGGATAGCGTGTCGCGCCGAGGCGTGGTGGTCCAGAAGGCGCGACACGCCAAGCGAAAGTTCCCGACTGTGACGCTGCCCTTGACTCGGGCTACGATTTTCGGGCCCGCACTCGGGCCTCAGGCGGCCGTTCGGAAGGATCTGGGCACCCCCGTGACGCCCTCGGCGAGGCGCAGCTATGCTGGAAAACCGCGGGGTTCAGACGAACACTTCCGAAAGCCTCGATCCTCGATCTTCCTGAGCCTATCCCCCCCCGAATGTTGGCGGCCCGAACAAGGGGGTAGGGGGAGGGGGGAATGCTTCCTATAAGGAGGCTGCTTCTGACCGCGCCAGCCCTACATCTACAGATAAGACCCGCGCCTTCAAAGAAGCAGGGGTGCTTCTGAGAAGCCCCCCCCCCCTCCCAACGCCCCCCTCTGCGCGTGGCTGACTGTCCCCCTGGCGGCACACGTCCACCGCAAGGGGGGCACTGGACACTGGACACTGCGCCTCTTCATCCCGCGGGACGGCCCTGCGTGGGGCGCTGGGCGGTGGCGCCGCGGCGCCGACAGGTGTAACATCACATGGCGGATTCCGGAAACCCTGAACCCAACCACGTGTTCATCTCTTGGGAGGCGTTCTTCTACTTCCCCCACCCTCCGCCGCCCTGATGCCAACTTCCGCACGCGGAGGCGGCCTCGTCTTACTTCCGCCGACCTTCCGCCGGCCTTCCGCCGCCTCCCGCCGCGCAAGAAACGACAACTCCTACGCCGGAGGCGCCGCCAGGGGGGCTCCTCGCGGAACGCCAAAAGTTTGTGTTCATGGCGTTTTCCCTTTTCCGGTGACTGCCTCCTTCGATCCTTCGATCGAAGGCAGTCAAGTCCTTCGATTCCCGCAGGCAAAGCCATTCTGGAACGCCTCACATGCTGACTGCCCCCTGCACTCCCGCCCCAGGCCCCGCCAGCAGGCACGCGCCCCACGGGGCCGGCTCGGCATCGCGCGGGGCCCCGGCCGCGGCGGACGGCACCGCGGGGAGCGACGCTGGGGCCCGCTGCACCTCTCGCCGGCGGCGATCCTCGTCCTCCTCCTCCCCTCCTCCTCCTCCTCCTCCTCCTCCTCCTCCTCCTCCTCCTCCTCCTTTGCCTCCTCTCCTCCTCCTCCTCCTCCTCCTTTGCCTCCTCCTCCTCCTCCTCCTCCTCCCCTCCTCCTCCTCCTCCTCCTCCTCCTCCTCCTCCTCCTCCTCCTCCTCCTCCTCCTCCTCCTCCTCCCTCCTCCTCCTCCTCCTCCTCCTCCTCCTCCTCCTCCTCCTCCTCCTCCCTCCCTCCTCCCTCCCTCCTCCCTCCCTCCCTCCCTCCTTCCCTCCCTACCTCCATCCCGCCCGCCCGCCTGCCCGCCCGCCCGCCCGCCCTGCCTCCCTCTCTCCCTCCCACCTCCCTTTTCCCTCCTCCCTCCTCCCTCCTCCCTTTTCCCTCTTCCCTCCTTCCTCCTCCCACCTCCCTCGTCCATCCTTCCTCATTCCTCCTCCCCCCAACCCTCCTCCCTCCTCCCTCACCCCTCCTCCCTCCTCCCTCCTCCCTGTTCCTTTTTCCCTTCTCCCTCCTCCCTGCTCCCTCCCTCCCGCCTCCCCTCCTCTTCCTCCTTCCTCCCTCCTCCTCCCTCCCTCCCCCCACCCCCACCCTCCCTCCTCCCCCCTCCCCGCCTCCCCCTTCCGAGGCTCCTGCGCGGGGGGCGGCGCAAAGGCGCAGGCGCGCCCGGCAAGGGCGAGCAGGGCGGCGGCGCGGGCGAACGCCATGACGGGCGGGCGGCGGGGGACCCAGAAGACCTCTGCTGCGGCCACTGCTTAGCTGGAGGCGCGACCAAATGCGGACGCGGCCGATGTCCCGACAGCGAAGCGAGACGAGGAGGGGCGCGAGGGGGGGAGAAGAGGGAGGAGGAGGAGGAGGAGGAGGAGGAGGAGGAGGAGCAAAAAGAGGAGGAGGAGGAGGAGGAGGAGGAGGAGGAAAGGACGAGGAGGAGGCGGAGGACGAGGAGGGAGAAGTAGGAGGAGGAGGAGGAGGAGAGGAGGAGGAGGAGGAGAAGGAGCAGGAGCAGGAGCAGAGAGCAGGAGGAGCAGGAAGAGGAGGGGAGGAGGAGGAGCAGAGGAGGAGAAGGAGGAGAGGAGGGTGAGGAGGAGAAGCAGGAGGAGGGGGAGGAGGGGAGGAGGAGGTAGGAGCAGGAGGAGGAGGAGGAAGGAGAGGAGGAGAGAGGAGGAGGAGAAGCAGGAGGAGGAGCAGGAGGAGGAGGAGGAGGGTGGATGAGGAGGAGGAGGAAGAGGAGGAGGAGGAGGAGGAGGAGGAGGAGGAGGAGGAGGAGGAGGAGGAGGAGGAGGAGGAGGAGGAGGAGGAAGATGAGGTCGAGCGTGCCCAAAGGGGTTCTCCAGTCAAGCCCATTCCCCACCTCTGGGCCCAACGTTGTATAGTGGGGCCCTGGAAAGGGGCAAACGAATCGCGGCTCAAATCGTCGAGGCCCGTACCCTTGCACTGCCGAGTTGTGAGGCGAACCGATGCGCGCAGAAAAAAACGCAACAGCAAAGCAGACACGATGCCGATGTTTCATACATTGCACGTCATCAAGTACCACTCCCACTGGTTTCAGGCCAAGGTGAGCCACCGCATCTGCGGGGACGTCCCGAAAGAGTACCTCACGGACTGGGGCCTCCAGAGGCATGCACCCAAGGAAGTAATGCGACACAGAGTCACCCCCCGCACATCCGCAACCGAAGAGGCAACACCGAGACTCTCTCTGCATCCGTCGGGACGTCGTCCACCCGCCTAGCCAGCTGTTTAAACAAGCCGAGGCCCAGGACATCGGGAGTGCCTGTCAGCGCTTTCCTCCCTCCCCCGGTCCACGAGCCCCACTCTGAACCCCAAGCAGATGCCATTTCGCAACCCGACGATCGAACAAGGCAGCGGCCGACGGAGCGAACAGGCGAGAGTGAAAGATCGTCGCAAGCCGCCCCTGCCATCGGGGGCGCGCGCCTGCGCGTGGAGGCGCAACATCCTGGACGTCCGCTCCGCTGTGCAGGCGCAGGCACGCCGCTCCTGCGGCCGCCAGCGCACGGCCCCGAGGGAATCCCTGCGCCGCCTCGGACAGGGTCAGGGCGATGGCTGGTGGCGGCCAGGACGACGGAGCAAGTGCTCTCGAGTGGATGATGGGCAGCGCTCCATATTCTGCGGCTGCGCACCGCAGCTGCGCAAGGGGCACTGTCTAGGATGGGAGCGACACGAGCGCCGCGCGCATCAGCGAAGCACAGCTGAGGACCCAGCTCGGCGGGGAATCAGCCCCCCCCCCACCCAGACTCACCCACCCGCCCCAATTCAAGATCGAGCTGGATGTCCCCCGAGGCGATGCAGACCCACGCCGCTCCTCTATCGCGATCGCCCTTGGCGGGGGGGGAAAGTTGGCAAGTTGGGCCGCATGCGAGGGGGCAGGCAGCACCCGCGTGCCTGCGCAAGCTTAGCCCATGGCGTCCGCCGCTGATCTGTAATCGTGACCGAGGGACCGACAAGAGTTCCGAGGTATTCAATGTAAAACTACAGCTACAGCAAGCCCAGACCATGCTGAAACAGCGTTCTCAATGAATGTCCGAGCTCTGTTCTCAACACTGTCATCGAAGGGGGCAAAAAGCGGAGCCACCTCGCATTTGGCAGTCTCGAGGACAAGAGAGGCGAATCGCGAGGCATGGGGAAGGGTGCGACCTAGCCTTCGGACGCCTGTGGCCGTGAACGAGACAGAACCAACATCGCCTGCGCATGCTCGCGGGAAGGCGCGATTTGTCCCCTCCGTTGCACGCCCCATGTCATGCGCGCATGCATTGGCAGTGATGACAAACGACGACCCGTTCAAGGGACATCCTTGTAAGGCGCCAGCACGACCGAAAAAGAAAGGAAAGCGGGCACCCCCCTCACAGAAGAGACACAGGTTGAGATGTCACAGGCACTGGAAAGCCTGAACCAGGACAGGGGGGGAGCCGGGGACCACAAGGCGAGGGGGGGGGGCCTGGGAAACATCGGGGAAGGCATGGGCAAAGTGGAGCGAGATCAATAGCAGTGGGAGACACTCTTCAGGGGCCGTGGCTCGCTGAGGGGAGTCCTTCATGATGGAACCAATCCGAGAGCGCGCGTCGAGCTCAACGACGTCCTCCAAAAATGGCCGCCCCTTTCATACATCCATTTTTCGTCAGCGCGCTCGCTTTTGGCGCGATCGACGCCAACGGCCAGTTCATTGCAGCCGAAGCGAATTTATTCAGAATGTATTCCAGGGCAAGAGGTCTCGTCTCGTCAGCCGAACGAGAAAGCACCGCCGCCCCCGCGCCCTCTGGCCTGTCTCCTCTGGCCAAAAAAGCCGCGATGGACTCGAACGACGTCGAAGGTAGACGCTGTCCTGCCGGGGGCCCCCGCAGGGCTTCCATGCTTCCGTGACCGCGGAGGGGCCCCGTCCTACCGCCCAGGTGCAGCACGCAAGACTGTCGGGCCCAGGGGCCGAGCCAGGAACGCGCCGCAAGATTTTCCGCACCGGGCCTGCACTGGGCGGGGGCGCGTCTTCAAAGTCAACCCCCGAAGACAACTTAGAAGCATATTACGAGGCCCCCGCTGCGAGCGGCGACGAGGCCTGAAAGGCGGGCGCCCAAAATGCAGCAAGGTCACCTGCTTTGACCTCCGGAGAAGACGAGGCCCCAAAAGGACCCAAGACCACGCCTAAGACACACCCACGCCCCATGGGGTCCCACAGACGAGCCCTACGACGCAGAGAGAGGAGACGCCTGGAGGAGGAGGCAGAGGAGAGACCTCTAGCGCTCCGAGACTCTCGCTGCGCCTGGGCGCGGGCAGCCTCGGCCTTCACCGAGGCCAGCTGGGCCCCATTGAAAGCTGCGGCGAAAGCCTCAGGCTGGCGAGGGGCCGCGCGCCCAGCATCGACCTCCAGATGGCCACGTAGCCACTGATGCCGCAGTAGCAGAGCATGAGCCAGCTGAAGGTCCTGGCGCATCACAGCGCGCGACGCCGACCTCCACGCCATTGCGCGCCCTTGGGGCCCAGGACGAGCTCGAGCCAGAAGAGAGTCACGCACCGCCCGACCAGCTGCTCGCCGGGCTCGAACGGCACGCCGAACCAGAGCGCCCGTTGGCCAGTCGCGCCCCCCCCCGCCCCACCTCGGCAGACTTCCCATATGCGCAGACCATCTCGCCGGAGACAGGGTCGCGCGTGATGAAGCCAGCACGTGGCTTGACACGCCCATGCTCACTCTCTGAGCGGTGCGCCCAAGGTAACCAAAGAGGAGAATGATCACTGACAGCACTACGACCAAGCTCTCCAGGTCCAACTGCCAACGCCACCGACTGCCGGAGGCGACATGCAACCCGCGTCGGCGTCGACACGTAGATGCGGTCGACGCGGGGCGAAACCTGATTCGGACGATGCCAGTGCATTGGGCGCGCAGCATCGCACTCCACCATGCGTCGCCAAATCTTTCGCCACGATGTCTCGTTCCGCCTCCGCACCAGCCCGGAACCGACCTCGACCCTTCTCGAGGAAGCAGGCGCTGGGGCGCCTGAGACAGGGCCCTCTACGTCGCCGTCAGATGTTGAAATCACCGAGCGCACAGACTGAGCAATGAAGAGGGTCTGCTAGGGCTCGAGACAACTGCCGATGAATCCGACCACTCGCCTTCTTCATGTCTTCTGCCGACACATCATGGTTATGAACATTCCACTGGGACCAGACATGGCCTGCAGGAGGGATCGCAACGAGCATAATGCCTCCCTCGGCAAGAACGTCAGAGCACACATTCGCGATGCCCATTACGTGGCGCAGGGGGAGAGGAGCCAAATCAGTAGCGAGCGCTAGCCCAGCGCCAAATGATCGCTAACGCGTCAAGACTCGAGCAGTGGGCCTCCTGAAGGGCAACCACAGACGATGCACTCATCCTCAGATTCACCTCTGAGAGCTTGAAGTTCATGATCTTGGACTTGCAGTGGGCGGGGGCACGAGCGCTCCAGGTCGCGAGGGGCAGCGAGCCCGTGCCCTCGAAGACTTTGTTGCCCACTCCACCGAATCTCACGGACACCCAGCGCCTCCAGCGCATCCATGTTCCACTGGAACGTGGGCTCCTCCGTGGGATGAACTTCAACATTGAGCAAGCGCTCCCGAGACATAAACAAACCACATTCCGCACGATCGGCATACACTGGGCGATCAAAAATTGCACTGAAAGCGTTCCTGATCTTCTTGCAAACAATCTCCCGCGCAATATCCCGTCTGCTTTGGTCAGCCGATGCCGACAGTGCGACAGGGCGGCCACTGGGATCGGGCGTGGTGAACGCGCGCCGATGCCCTGCCTTCGCACGGATCGCCGCCATTGCCGACCCTGCTCGCCGCTCGGCCCATGCCCCCTTAAACTTGTGCACGAACGAGCGCCCCAGCTGCTCACCCTCCAGCTTGACCTCGTCCCCGATGGTGAACGATGCACCTTGCAGCCGCGGCGCGAGGCACTCTGTAACCTTCTCATGCGCCACACCAGCCCTCGCACGCACGAGGAGGATGGTGCATTCCACTGGGCGCTCCCATGCACCAGTGCGCGCGATCGACACGTGGACCCTCTGTCTCGACAAGTCAAGCTCCTGCTCCAACGCCCGAAACCTCGCCTCGAACTCACCCTGCATCCTGCGAACTTCTGCGATCTCATGCTCGACCGGCCCCAGTCGACGTGCGTGGGCTGCAAGCTGGCCCTGAACGTGTTCCTCGAACTTGTGAGACAGCGGCTGCACTGCTGCTGCCACGATACCAG